TCTGTTCCCTAGTTTTTATTTACTTTTTCTGTAGAACTTGCTTCATGTGGAAAAATGCGCGAGTATAGAAAGATGCGAGGAAGCCGTGTGGGTTAGGAACGGAGTCGGCCAATGAGGCCTAAGAGAGAGAGGGGTTTCTTTTTCTCTCGTGTAATGGGAAGTCTGGAAGGGGCAGGCTGCTTGCCGGTGTCATGAGGGGCGCAGGCTGCTGCTCTCCCCGCAGTGGGTTTGCCGGGTGCTTCACAGCGTGCCCTGAGTCAGCCTCAGCCAGTGAGCAACTTCTGCGGAAGGTGCATTGGTCAGAGCTCTGCTCCTGGCCCAGCCCCTCTGCAAGGGATCCTGGGAAACGTAGTTTCTTTTTCCCTTAGTTTAAAGCTGCACACATTTGGCACAGAAAGAGTAAGCTATCGCCTACAATCCCAGTACCTGGAGGGAACACTTTATCTTTACAAAATTGTGATCCTTCTCCACGAGTAGTTCTCTTTACTGCTTTTTGCCCTAGAACAGCGGTTCTCAACCTGTGGGTCGCGACCCCTTTGGGGGTCGAACGACCCTTTCACAGGGTTCACCTAAGACCATCGGAAAACACATATATAATTACATATTGTTTTTGTGATTAATCACTATGCCTTAATTATGTTCAATTTGTAACAATGAAATTGGGGGTCACCACAACACGAGGAACTGTATTAAAGGGTCGCAGCATGAGGAAGGTTGAGAACCACTGTCCTAGAAGTACTGTGTTTCAGGGCTATCCCTGCCTGAGTCCTAGAGAGGAAAGTGGGGGGGTTTCTCCAGGCCATGCAGCACCTCACGGGCGCATGACGGGACTGCGGCCCTGATAGTTTAGCCGCAGCCGGGCCCGGTTTCCCGAACCAGCGCCTGCGGTTGGGGGTAGCTGTTGCATTGCCACCCGTTCTCATAAGTCAGCACTGCGCGTGCGTTAACTCAGAGTCTGAGACAGAAGAGACTTTACATTTCACAAGTGTCTGTGGCCGCCAATATGTCACCATTTTACATAATTTATTAGAATAGTTTTCTGCAAGAGCTGCTGCTGGGACAAAAGTGAGAAAAAATTTTATTTTTATTGAAAAAATGTTAAATATATTTTTATTGATTTCAGAGAGGAAGGGAGAAGGAGCGAGAGATAGAAACATCAGTGATGAGAGAATCATTGATCGGCTGCTTCCTGCATGCTCCCCTACTGGGGATTGAGCCCACAACCCAGGCATGTGCCCTGACCAGGAATCAAACCATGACCTCCTGGCTCATAGGTCAATGCTCAACCACTGAGCCACACCGTCCTGGCTCTCAGTACAAAGGGCTTTCTGTTGACATTTTAGATCAGTGGTTTGAAGTTGTCCATCTTGCTATTTTGCCCGCATCAGGGGGTATTTTTTAGCCTTGACTGTCTGGGTGGGTGAAGAAAAACTCTTGGCAGTGTTCCGATTGGACATGACACCAGTTACGGGGCAGGTGGGATGTCAGGGGCCCAAGGGAGTGACTTCCGGGCCAGGGAGACAGAGCAGAAGGAGCAGGGACCGTTGCCCTGGGATTTGTTCTCCACCCCAGGTCTGCGAGGGGTTGGCTGGATGCTCAGCACCCTCTGGTTTCTGTGGGTGCTGGTTAGGCTGGAGCGGGCTGGGGGCTGGTGTGCGGATTCGGGGCCTCAGCGGAGCAGGGAGGCAGTGCCGGCCGCTGACCTGCCCCGTCCTTCCGCAGCTGGGAACCGGCTTCAGCGACGAGGAGCTGGAGGAGTATCACCAGACCCTGCAGGTGAGCGGGCGGGCCTGCGCCTCTGCCGCGTGCTCTTGGCTCTGGTGAGCTCGGGCTCTGGGTGCCACAAGCAGGGGGCAGTGCAGCCGGCTTTGGGGGTGCAAGTCGCAGCTGTGCCGGCCACTAGCCAGTGCTGCCCGCCAGTCAGGGGCCCCATCTCCCCGAGCTCAGGGCCTCGGCCGCAGCAGGGGGGCAGTCTCGGGGGAGGGCGCTCTTGCGGGGTTCCCCAAGTCGATCCTTAGGGTGCTGGCTGAGCTCCTGCTAAGTGGGGGTGTTTGTGGTCATGGTCACAGGTGTTTTGGGTGTGACTGTCTTTTGTGTTGGTATCTGTGATTTGGTTCCTGTCCATTCTTTGGTTCCCTCTCTCTATCTCTCTCTCTCTCTCTGGGTCTCTGTCCCCACCTCTCGGGGTCTCTGCCCCTCTCTCTACCTCTGTCAGTCTTAATTTCTCCTCTCAGCTCCCAGGGTCTCTGTCTTTCGTTTATTCCTTCTCCCATTTCTCCCCACCCCCCACTCCTGGCTCTGTACCTTAAGGAGTGTCTGTGTCTCTATCTTCCCCCATTTACCTCACTTCCCAACCCCCCAACCCTCCATCTTGATTCTGAGACCCGAGACCCTCTCTTCCACCTCCTGCTGCTCCCTGCAGGCCCGGGTGCTGCCCACCCCTCGCTCCTATGTCCGGGCAGACGGCGCCGTGGCCCCGGACCACTGGCTGGAGCCCAGCATCGTGTGGGAGGTCAGGTGCGCGGACCTCTCCCTCTCGCCCATCTACCCCGCTGCCCGCGGCCTGGTGAGTGACTGCGCCTGGGGGAGACGCTCCAAAGAGTTCCAGACGGGAGAGGGGGGGCCCTGCGGACGGCCGCCCTTCCTGGGGGGTGACTGGGAAACCGCGAGCTTGCGTTTTATTTGGGAGTCAGGTAACAGGGTCAAAAGTCTCATTTTTTTTTTTTTTTTAAAGAGAAATGCCCCAGGGGTAGAAAGAAAACAGTGAAATTGCTGTTTCACACTCAGCTCTTACGTAATTTTTGAAAACAAAGTTCTTTTAAGTAAAAGTTTATGACACATCCTGTTACATTTCTTTCTTAACTATAATTCCCACACCACCTAGTTGTCCAGTCCCTTCTCTCACTGGTGGTTCAGTCCTCGCCACGCGCTGGAGGGCCGGGGCCGCGGAGGTGCTGCGGTGCCCAGCGCGGGCTCTGAGCTTGCCTCCTCCTGCAGGAGAAGGGGTCTCGCATTAAGTGTGCCTCCTTTGAGGTTTCTTCGGATCTGTCCATCTAGCAGCCGCTTTTCTGATTAGAAGCGGGCTCCATTCAGAGGCGGAGCCTGTGTTTGGGATTGCATTTCTTCTCACTCATGAGGTCAGGGTCCTGGGACCCAGTGTTGGGAGCAGCCTGGGCAGTGGGCGCTCTGCCAGCAGCAGGGCACCTGTGTGCACGTATTTAGTCCTCAGGACACTGAGCCGCCCAGCCTGCAGGTGGGGAAGCAGAGCCGGGAGCTGAGGGACTGGCCCCACGTCTCACGGCTCCTGGGCGTTGGGAGCTGGGATTCGACCCCACAGTCTGGTTCCAGAATCCACACCCTGACTCCACTGCTCCCCGTCCTGGCCCTGATAATGCCAACTGCCCTAAAGACAGCTGGCACAGCTGGCGTTTCTTTTTTTTAACAAAAAATATATTTTTGTTGATTTCAGAGAAGAAGGTAAAGGGAGAGAGAGAGAGAGAGAGAAACATCAATGATGAGAGAGAATCATTGATTGGCTGCCTCCTGCACGCCCCCCAGTGGGGATCAAGCCCATAGCCTGGGCACGTGCCCCCGACCGGAATCAAATCTGGGACCCTTAGTCTGCAGGCTGACGCTCTGTCCATCAGCCAGGGCACAGCTGGCGTTTCTTAAGCGCTGCCATGCGCCAGGACGGTCCCAAGGGCTCATCACCTTATTTAACCCTTACAACAGCCCATTGCTTAGCCCCACTCTATGGACCAGGAAACTGAGGTGCAGGAGCGGGGAGGAGACTTGGGTAGGGAATTGTTAGCGAGGACCGAGGCTGGGCCGCAGGAGGTCCCCATCATCACCCCGCCCCCCAGGTGGACAGTGAGAAGGGGATCTCCCTTCGCTTCCCTCGGTTTGTTCGCGTCCGTGAAGACAAGACGCCGGAGGAGGCCACCACCAGTGCCCAGGTGAGGCCTCGGAGGGGTGTGCTTCTCGGAGAGGCGGGCGCCGACCTGCAGGGGCGAGGGGTGGGGGCAGCCCTGGCTCTGACCCCCGCCTGCCCTGTCTCCTCAGGTGGCCTGGCTGTACAAGAGGCAGAGTCAGATTCAGAACCAGGAGGACACAGACCAAGACTCGGACCCGGACCTGGAGTGTTTCTACTAGGCCCTGCCCTCCGGGGCGGGGCGGAGCCAGCGCCTCTGGCGTTAATAAGCAGATCTGGTGTGCAGTGTGTGTGAGGGTGCGGTTTAAAGTGGGATTTAGTCTTTTTAAAAAAAATAAATAATTATTAACCCCCAGCTCCGTGTCCAGGTCTTGCCGGGCTCTGGGGGTGCTCTGATAGCTCACACGTGGAGGGCGCGTGCCAGTGTGCCAGGGGCTGTCTGAAGCAGCGCCTTCCAGCAGAACTTGGCAGCGACAGAAACATCTTCCACCCGCTGTGCGGTGAGACAGCCACCGGCCAGCCGGCGAGCACTTGAAATGTGGCTGGTGCAATTGGGGACATATTCTATATATGTTTATTTTTACTTATTTATTAAAATACTAGAGGCCCAGTGGGGGTTGTGAGGGTGCGGTTTAAAGTGGGATTTAGTCATTTTTAAAAAAATAAATAATTATTAACCCCCGGCTCTGTGTCCAGGTCTTGCCGGGCTCTGGGGGTGCTCTGATAGCTCACACGTGGAGGGCGCGTGCCAGTGTGCCAGGGGCTGTCTGAAGCAGCGCCTTCCAGCAGAACTTGGCAGCGACAGAAACATCTTCCACCCCCATTGTGCGTTGAGACAGCCACTGGCCAGCCAGTGAGCACTTGAAATGTGGCTGGTGCAATTGGGGACAAATGTTTTTTACTTATAAGAGTGCACTGACCACCAGGGGGCAGCTCCTGTGTTGAGCGTCTGACCCTGGTGGTCAGTGGGTGTAATAGTGACCGGTCGTTCTGCCATTCGGTCTATTTGCCATATTAGCCTTTTATTATATAGGATGTTTTTATTGATTTTTAGAGAGAAGAAGGGAGAGGGATAGAGAGAATCATCAATGAGAGAGAAGCATCAATAGGCTGCCTTCTGCATGCCCCCTACTGGGGATTGAGCCTGAAATCGAGGCATGTGCCCTGACCAGGAATCAAACTGGTGATCTCTTGGTTCCTGGGTCAGTGCTCAACCACTGAGCCACACTGGCTGGGCTCTATTTCTTTTTAATTAAATTTCACTTAAGTTGATTTTTTACAGAGAGGAAGGGAGAGGGATAGAGAGTTAGAAACATCGATGAGAGAGAAGCGTCGATCAGCTGCCTCCTGTACATCTCCTACTGGGGATGTGCCTGCAACCAAGGTACATGCCCTTGACCAGAATTGAACCTGGGACCCTTGAGTCCGCAGGCCGACGCTCTATCCACTGAGCCAAACCGGTTAGGGCCCTATTTCTTTTTAATTAAATTTCACTTAACCCCATGTGGTTAGTGGCTATTGCATTGGACAGTGGCAGTCTCAACGTTATAAACTCATTTAACCTCCCAGCCACCTAACCAGGGGCCACTGTCCCAGAGGAGGACAGGGATGCACAGAGGAGGGAAGGGGCTCGCCCAGGGCCGTAGCCGGGAGAGCTGGCTCCAGGGTCTGACTCCAGTCTGGCTCTGGGCCCACACCTTTCAGGGACGGACCCCCTCCTGTGGGAGACAGGAAGTACAGTGACGTGTGAGACCCAGCTCTGCCTCACACCCCTGGGTTCTAGTCCTCACACAGCCCCCTGGACCTGACCGCGGGGGCCGGCAGTGGCTGTATGCGTCTCGCTCACCCTAATAGCCCCAGCCCCCAGCACCCGCCTGGCCTTCAGTCTGATCGAGAAGTAGCCAGCCCTTCCCGCCCTGACCGGTTTGGCTCAGTGGGTAGAGCGTCGGCCTGCGGACTGAAGGGTCCCAGGTTCGATTCCGGTCAAGGGCCTGTACCTTGGTTGCGGGCACATCCCCAGTAGGGTGTGTGCAGGAGGCAGCTGTTTGATGTTTCTCTCTCATCAATGTTTCTAACTCTCTATCCCTCTCCCTTCCTCTCTGTAAAAAATCAATAAAATATATTTTTTTAAAAAAAGGAGCCAGCCCTTCCCTTCCCGCCTCACCTGTGCACACGATGGTGGGGTCCTGAGGGACGAGTCCCTTAACCAGTGAACCCAGGGCAGCGGCTGCCGGCGGCTTCTTGTCCTGGGGGAGGCGATGACCCCTCCGATAAAACGGCGTTTGTTTCTCAGCCAAGAGTTCCTAACAAGCTCTATCCTAAGGGACTAGTATGCACCCATATTCATCAAGTTCAATCAGATGTTTAAGGCAAATATTTATCTGACTGGGTGTTAGACATTGTTTGTCTGGGGACCCTGGTGGCCGTCTTGCTCTGAGTGGAGCCCCGTGGTTCCTTTAGGTTTGCAACTGGGTCTTCCCACACCCACAGGGCCTCTGGGAACATGTCCCCGAGCAGCCATGGCTGCCATGTCCTTCTGCCAGGGCTGGGCAGGGGCATCCTCACTCACCAGACCCTCATGACACCCCTCTAGGTAGGTACTTTTTTAATATATTTTATTGATTTTTTACAGAGAGGAAGGGAGAAGGATAGAGAGTTAGAAACATCGATGAGAGAGAAACATCAATCAGCTGCCTCCTGCACACCCCCTACTGGGGATGTGCCCACAACCAAGGTACATGCCCTTGACCGGAATCGAACCTGGGACCCCTCATTCCGCAGGACGACGCTCTATCCACTGAGCCAAACTGGTTAGGGCTAGGTCTGTACTTTTATTACCCCATTTAACAGACGAGGACACTGAGGCACAGGGATGGAAGGTACTTTCCTTCGGTCCACTGCCCAGGAAACAGGACCAGGATGTGGTCCAGGCCGCCTGCAGGAGCCCCTGCGTGCATTGCCACTAACTAGTGTCTCCCGAGAGCCTCGTGTGCCCCTGCCAGGAGGTGGCGCCTTGTGCCCAGGCACGGAGGTGGCAGGTCTGGGCGGGAAGAGATCGTGCTGAGGGCTGGATTATAAGACATCGAAGGGTGAGCCTGGCGTCTGAGGGAGCAGAGACCATCGGCCCCCTGGTGAAGCCACGTTCCTTATAAAAACGGTTGAAACGCATCAAGGGGAGAGGATGCTGGGAGCTGGGCTCGGATCGTGTGCCTCAGGGAGGTTTGCAGGAGCAATAACTCATAATCACATATGAATTAAAGTGCGTCATCTCCACTTGACACATTACTGGTGATGTTTGTTTTAATCCTTTGATGAAGATAGTGTCTGCCTGGTTTCTGTGGAGAGCGGCTACAGTGTTGGGACAGGTTCAAGCCTCGGACTAATGAGAGGACACGGTCCTCTCATGGCCACGTGCCAGTCCCAGCTTGGAGGGCAGAGCCCTCCCAGCACAATTAGAGCCAACAGCTGTAGTTGTAAGCTTGAACCTATGGTCCGAACACGTGGCCCCACGTGCCTGAGTGATGTGGGCTTGATAGAGTTCAGGTGCATGTAGTTGAGTAGGATCGAAACCCACCAGAATGTTGTAAACATCTGACCATGACGCCCTTACTTTGCCTCGTGGAAACTGGCTATAAAATAAAGACACGGCTTGTAGTCCATCCGAGAGGGCAGTGTCCCACCGAGACCCAGCTTTCTTCTCTTGGTTGTCTTTTCTAATCCTTCACCGCCCCCTCTCAGGGTCACCGAACCTGGCTGAGCTGGTGCGGCCCAGTTTCCTCTATAAAGCAGCTCTCCTTCGACATTAGTATTTTGTAAGGAGCTATTTGAGTTGGGTAAATATTGTCAAACTTTCCACCGATCTTTTTAAAAAAATCTGTGTGGCCCAGCCAGCGTGGCTCAGTGGTTGAGCATCAACCTATGAACTAGGAGATCACGGTTGGATTCCCGGTCAGGGCACACGCCCGGGTTGACTTGCTCCTCCCCAGTGGGGGGCGTGCAGGAGGCAGCCGATGGATGATTTTCTCTCATCATTGATGTTTCTCTCTCTCTCTGGTTGGATTCCCGGTCAGGGCACACGCCCGGGTTGCAGACTTGCTCCCCAGTGGGGGGCGTGCAGGAGGCAGCCGATGGATGATTTTCTCTCATCATTGATGTTTCTCTCTCTCTCTGAAATAAAAATGCATTAAAATCTGTGGACTCCCAGTTTCCTGCGTTATCTGATATCATTAGTTATTGTTTATTTTGATTTTCAATTTGCCCTGATGTGGCCGTGGCACTTCCTCAAGCCGACCTGCGTTCTGACCTGTCCCCGTACCTGCGCACCCTGCTTTATGGCAGGACAGGATGTTCCAGGCTCATCTTATACGTGTCCTGCTCCGGGCACGGAACCGGCCATTTCTCCTAGGAGCTGGCTTCCTTTTAGCGGAGAGTGGTATTTAGAAGTCAAGAGCTGGATGCGAGCCCTAACCGGTTTGGCTCAGTGGATAGAGCGTCAGCCTTCGGACTCAAGGGTCCCAGGTTTGATTCCGGTCAAGGGCATGTACCTTGGTTGCGGGCACATCCCCAGTAGGGGATGCGCAAGAGGCAGCTGATGGATGTTTCTCTCTCATCGATGTTTCTAACTATCCCTCTCTCTTCCTCTCTGTAAAAAATCAATAAAATATATTAAAAAAAAAAAAAAAAGCTGGATGCGAGAGGTGCTCACCAACATCAGGTGTCGCTGCTCCCCCTCTGAGAGAGCTGGAGGATTCACAGTCAAGTTCCCTATGCCCAGCGACGGCTGTGAAATCTGTGATGACACACCAGTGCCCCCAGCTCCAGGCCAGCACCACAGGGCTTCTCCTCCCCCCGTTTCTGTATTAACAACTCCCTTTCCGGCTGTGAGAAGCCGGCCTCCATTACCCTTCACGTGATCCACATGTGTGACCAGTCTCCTGTCTCCATTGCCACCCCACCTCTGTGGGGACCCCTTTCTCACGCTGATCTGGCTTCAGCAGCCGACACCATGCCACCCCCATGAGTGGACGTCCTTGGGACACCCCCCCAGGCTAGGCGATGACACCTGCATAGATTCCCTCCTCCGCTCACGCTCCAGCTCCCACACCTGCTGCTCGCCTGCAGGCCCATCCTCACTTTCTCGGGCCCAGGCACTCAGGCCGGGCTGCCCTCTGTGGGGACATCTCCCTCGCTCCAGACCCTATTTGAACTCTGGCTCCCCACA